TCTCTCTCTCTCTCTCTCTCTCTCTCTCTCTCTCTCTCTCTCTCTCTCTCTCTCTCTCTCTCTCTCTTTGTGAGTATATATACAGGGAGACATACACACATACATAAACACATTTGAAAAAGTTAAATGTGGCTTTTTAAAAGGAGAAAAAAGTAAAAGTTAAGCATAGAATTCATACACAAGCAGCAACTTTTACTTTTAGACTTTGCTATGGTTTTCCAAAATCTGTGATGCCTCAGTACCAAGAGGTATGTCCTGGAGAGGTGATAGGTCTCAGGGACTCCATCCACATAATTAGGACTGGACTTTTATGAAAGAGCTGGAGGCTAATGCAGCAGGACTTCTGTCCCTTTTGTCCCCTCTACCATGTGAGAACCATGTATTCCAAACTTCTGTCGGATGGGGCAACAGGGACCATTGGGAAGTGGGTGCCAAGTTGTCCAGGGCCTTCTTTAGCCTCAAATGGAAGTGATGTGCTGACTCATGGTACAACATAGACAACACTCAAAAATGATATACCATACCGAGAAGCTGACTCTTGCAAGATGGTGTTTAAATGAGATGCTCAGAACAAGCAAATGCATAAGACAGAAAGCAGGTTGGAGCTACTAGGTGGGAAGGGGAGGCTGCTTACTGGTGTGGGATGCTCCTCTGGGGTGAAGGGTGTGTTTGGAACCAGATAGAGGCAGTCTTTACACAGCACCCCTTGTGTGTTCAGTGCCTATGCACTTCACCTTGAAATGGTTGACTAAACAAAATGTATTTCACATCAGTGTCAAAATTAAACACTTCTCACTGTGCACTCCCAGGACCCCATTGCCATAGCCAGTCCTCATCACAGAGATGTCACATTGAAGGTGTCATCTCAAAGGTGAACTTTGGGCAAAAAAAAAAAAAAACAAAAAACAGTCACGTGGTGTCTTTGCTAACCACCATGCCCCTCAAAAAGGAGGCATGATCCCATGGGTCAGCCATTCTGGTGGCTAACTCTTATCCACCCTCTCAGCTAGGAGACCAGCCTACCTGCATGTTGCACATCTTAGCCTGGAGGTCCTCACCCACACATGCATGTCCTCCAAATGCAGGCCTGGAAACACCCACAGAACAAAGGGATGAGAAGTGACCACTGCTGTTCCCAGAGAGTGGGATGCAGATGCACCCCTTGCAGGGAAACCTCCTGTAGGTACCTGGGGTTGTTGCACCACCGCCTCCTGGTGATCACGCCTCCTCCACAGGATCGAGAGCAAGGACTATGGGGGCCCCAGCTAGACCAGTGTCCATGTACCGCAGCCACAGGAGCCAGCTCAGCAAGGGATCGACACCGAGCCTTGGAGCACCACTGCAAAGTAGAACAGCTCTGTCTCCCTTTCCCACATGGATCCAACACACATAGGATGCAGCCATCATACCCAGGGACCTTAACACACTGAGGAACCCTCCAGAACACAGTTTCCCGTCATACATAGAGACTTCCAACACAGGGACCATACCCCTCATTAGAATCCTTAACACACAGAGAGGTCTCACTGACAGGGAGCAGCACTCCAACACAAAGACTATCAGTACATAAGGACCACGCACAGGGTCTTCCAATAGACATAGAGATCTCCCAAAGCATAGAGACCTCATACACAGGTACTCCCTACAGAGGCATGGGGCACAGAGGGACATGGGGCACAATCACATACCTCATTCTGTTTGGGAGCAAATGCTAAAGGGAAGACATCAGGCTGCGAAGTACTCAGTGAAAGGGAAAACTAACCCTGGGGAGATAGTGTAGGTAAGGAGAGCATAGGTGATCTGAGTAGGATGCTTAGAGCTTGCTGTCACTCAACAGACTCTTCTCTGATAGAGGGCTGGAGGGAGTGGACGAGAAGAGGTACAGTGCCCTGGAGTGGGAGCTCTGTAAGACCCCACTCAGGAAAAGCATAGGGAGTGCAGAGCAGAGGGTCTGGATATTCTTTCCCCAGTCCCATACTCACCCCACCCCACGCTCTCTCCCCTACACAGACTCCCTGCCCCCTCACAGCTTCATCACTCCCACTACTCGACCTTCTCCACACCACATTCTGTCCCATCCAGGAGAGGAACAAGGAGGCGGCTGCAGCTGCTTTGGTCCAGGGGGTCTGTGTGGCAGGACAGAGCCTGGCATGTATCCTAAGAGAGATGCACAGGTGGTCCACTAAGAGGTTGCCTGCTTAGTGCCCCTTCCAGATGAGTCAATACCCTGCTCAGATGAGTGGCCTGGGAGAAAAAAATCACAGCTGACTGACTCATCCATTAGGAGCAAAGAGCAGGATGGAACTTGCCAGGGCCGGTCATGCTTCTGGGGGCCGTGAAAATGTCTTAATACTTAAAATCAGAAGAGAAAAATAAACTTTTAAATAAAAGATACATATTCTAACATAGGTCAATAAGCATAATAATTCAGAGATTTTTACATTTTATAAAAATACTAAATGTAACTTTTAAAGTATAAGGTCTCTAGCCCAGGCTGGCCTTGAACTTCTTATGTAGCCAAGAATGGCCTTGACTTCGGCCTCCTCCCTGGCTCCTTCCCCTGTCTCCACCTCTAGAATTCGGGGATTACATGTATGTGCCACCATGCCCAGTTTATTTGGCCCATGACCAGATTTGGAGCTTTGAATACACCAGTAAAGCGAAAACTTTACCCACTAAACTGCATGCCCAGCTCCTAACCATAATTCTTCATGCTTCTCTGGAAGAAGAAAGAGGCTTGTCTGGGCAAAGAGGAAAGGAGGAAGTCTGCCTTGGGGAACTCTGGGCTCTTCATTTACAGCTGTTACGAGCCACACTCCTACTCTGTGTGCAGCCTGGAGGCCTCTGCCTCTTAGAAACCCTGTATGCTGAGTCCACCTCCACAAGTTAGATGCCTTTGTGCCAGGAACAACTACATCTTTAAGGCAAAGTCAAACAAAAATGTGGGGACTTTAGTTTTTCAAAAATGTTTAATATGTCCAAGAGGAGGATGGGTGAGGTGGGTAAAAATGACCATAATGCAAGCTTAGTCACCTGAGGAAAGACTCCAGTCCACGGTTGTCTTCCACCCCCAAAAGTGTGCTGTGGCACACTCACATGCATGCACACAGTTTTTACTTAATAAACTAAACACAAACATTAGACAAGATTAGGCACATAACTGATGAACTGTGAGCATCAAACATGTGAGCCCTGGAGTGGTCCTCACCTGTGCCTGATGCCCAAGGGGCAGGGGTCAGCACACTATAGGGAAGTGAGCTGAGTGGAGTGAGACTGGGTATTATGGATGGGTGGACTCACCAGACCCTCCCTGGAGAAGGTGCAGGCAATAGCCCCCGAGCCAAAAGCCACACGGCACTGATCATCTACACTGTAGTAGAGGCCAGGCTGTGCCACCAGCTGGTGCCGTGTGAGTCCTGACTGCAGCCCAGGCGGGTCCCAGAAGCAGTGCATTTGCCCTGTGCTGTGACAGATCAGGCAGAACTCAAGACCTGAGTGGACACCAGTGGGGTTAGCATAAGGTAGCAGATATGGGGCTGGGGATGTTAGCCCAACAAAATGTAGGATGAAGCAGATGGGGGGCTGGAAGAAGGATGGAGGAGAAGTCCATGGACCAAAGGACAGGAAAGGTCTGTCATGGAAGGGTGGAAGGAGGAGGTGGGGTGTGTGTGTAGAGGACAAGGGACAATTGAGGGGTGGACCCAGGAGTGGGATGGGATAGAAGAATGAGTTCAAGAAAGTGGGGAAGAATGACAGAGGCAGGATGGAGGGACTGCAGGAACTGATAGAGGGACAAAGTAGGGTTGGGGACAGGAAATAATAGCAACAGAGTGGGACAGGGTAAGGACTGCTGGGCAGGGTGAGAGTGACAGCCCACCCTGGCTAGGTAGAGGCTGTACCTGAGCAGGTGCTGCAGCTGCCTCTGGCTGCAGGTAGACCACGCCAGGACCCCTCCAGTAGGCACTGCGCCATCAGATGCCATCACATGGCCACTGGCCTCGCAGGTGCTGCTGCTGCCTGGAACACCATCATGGTCCAGCCCGAAGCTGTGGGCAGAAGAAATTCTGAGAATAGCCAGCTGGGGCTGGGTCAGGGCCACCTTTGTGTCTCCTGGACTTGGACCCTGCTACTAGCTAAGCTAGCCCAACAGGAGTCCTGGAGGCCCTGCCTCAGTTTCCCACCTATATGAGGAAGGTAGGAGAGTCGGTTGAGCAGGGTGGCTCTTTCTTCCTTTGGCTAATAAATAGCAGAAGCTTTGATGATAGACAAGCTGACCAAATCCATGGTTACAAGTCTGGGGTATAGAAGTGGGAACCAGGAGCAGGTAGAGGTCTGGGGGTTGACAGGTCGCTTTCCTGGTGGCTGATGGCCTGGATGCGTTTGACTTTGGGAAATCTATCCACCCTGCAGCTGCCTTGTGGTTAAAAAGATTGAGGAGATGTTGCTGTCTTTCTGTTCCCAGGTGGTAGGTTTTTTGAAGCAAGGTCTGAATATTATCCCCACACTTCATGCAGAACAGACTTAGGAGCCTGAGAAGCTAGGTAGTGAGGCAGTACAAGAGCTGCTGGGGCTAGATCCTCGGGGAAGTCTGAAGAGCCTGGCTTCCACCTCTGGGAGTCTATACCAATGCAGACTTGGTAGGATACCAGGAGGGAAACTTTCGTTTTATGCTCTGAAAATCTCCATATCATCTGATGTTTTATAACAATTGGATAGTATTTTCCTAGCAGCAGTGACTAAACTAAAATTCAAAAAGAAAACCACTGCCAGGCGGTGGTGGCGCACGCCTTTAATCCCAGCACTTGGGAGGCAGAGGCAGGCGGATTTCTGAGTTCGAGGCCAGCCTGCTCTACCGAGTGAGTTCCAGGACAGCCAGGGCTACACAGAGAAACCCTGTCTCGAAAAACCAAAAAAAAAAAAAAAAAAAGAAAAAGAAAACCACATCACTCTAGATAGACTGAGAATACAAATGGGTAAAGATTTGCCAACAAGAATACACATTACACACAGAAGCAAGGACTCAGAAGCACCCTAACTGTCCAACAGGGGATTAAGTTGTTGTATGTACAAAACAAACCAACACGAAGCGTAAGAGATCTGTGAGCTGACAGATGTGTGAGCTGTGTAGATATAGTAAAAGACAAGGGTTATGTGGGCTGGTGGCGCACACCTGTAATCCTACCCAGCGTCTGACACATGGCCAAGCAGCCTGTGATAGTTTGTCTTAAAAACCACAATAGAATCAAAATAATAAGCGTTGTATTGCACAAGTCTGATGTGCATATTAATGACCACAATTAAATGTAGCTCTGAAAAGACATCTCCATTAGTGGTGTGTGGTATTTAAATAAAAAAGCACCATCCCCCATTTATTTGCATGTTAAGCCCCCAAATCTTTGGTAAGATTAGGACTTGTAGCTCTTTGGAAGTGTAGCTAGAGGTGGAGTTTGAGGTTCCAAAGGCCTGTACCAGCCCAGCATCTCCCTCTCTCCGCCTGCCTTCCTGTGGGTCAGGATCTAAAGCTCCCAGCTATCACTCCAGCACCATGCCTGCTTGTGTGCCACCATGCTCCTTCTGAAACTGTAAGCAAGCCCCCAGTTAAATGCTTTCTTTTATAAGAGTTGCCTTAGTCATGACGTCTCTTCACAGCATTAGAACAGTAGCTAAGACATTGCATGGACTTAGTATAATCTTCAGTCTGGTTTTTTTCTTTACTGGAATTTCCAGAGAGACTTACTTTCTGGATGGCTCAGTGGGTAAAGGCATTTGCTACACAAGCCTGATTATCTGAGTTCAATTCCCAGAACCTATGTAAAGGTGAGAACCAACTCTGCAAAGTTGTCCTCTGACCTCTACATGCATGGTGTGGCATGACCCTTACCCACACCTTCTTCCCTCAATACTGCTCCACGCACAAATACATTTTAAAAACTTAAATATTAAATTATTGTTTTCTAATAGCTGTTTATCTAGAAAAAAAGAGTTCAAGTTAGTCACTCAGTGATCAAGAAGCATCAGATTTTTCCTATCTCAGCCTTCCCCTACCAAGACACTTAGGCCAAGAGGTATAGGCTTCTGACCAGCTCTGCAAAGGTTTGCTGCCTGCCTAGGCCACAGAGCTTGGCCTTGGGGCTCAGACCAGCTCTCTGACCAGTCTGGGGATGACTAATGAGACCACATACCTGTGCCCAATCTCATGGGCAATGGTGACCCCTAGGTCGAAGCCAGTGTCCTCAGTGATAAGGCAACTCCAGGAAGTGGAGCAGGCACCTCCCAGCTGGGTGACCCCCCGAACCTGCTTGTTACCATCAGGCAACTCCAGGTCAAACCTTGATAAGAAAAAAAGACTCATATGGATGGCTCCAGCAGCCATGTTGCTGGTGCAGAATGCAGGGAAGGTCATAGTGCAGCCTTCCTAAGCAAGCAGCACTCCAGTGGGGACCTCAGATACCTGGTTATATAGAGAGTCAGGTCAGCATGACTTGGATCTGTGTCATCGTGGGGGTTGATCGTCTGGCTCCACTCACAGACACTCATCAAGGATGAGGTGATGTTGGTTGTGATATTCGGAGTACTCTAGAGAACGATCAAAGAGCCTGTTCCTATGGAAGTGGTACCAAGGATAGTGCTGACTGTTGCCAGCATGCTTCTCAGTGGTTCCATAACAATTCTACTACTACCCCACTTTACAGATGGAGAAACTGAGGCTCTGAGAAACTCCTTGAGAGCTGTCTGTCCAGCTAAGCCCGAGTTCTTCAGGAAAGGATGAAGGGAATGGAGTCAGGGTTTGTACCTACCTCCAAGTCAGAGAGGATGATCAGCTTCACCAGGTGTACCTGGAACTGAGCCCCTAAGGATGGGCTTCTCAACAGCTCTGACCCCTGAAGAGGGCAACGGGGAGGGAGGGAAGGAGAGAGGAAGGGAAAGAGGGAAGGAGGGAGGGAGGGAGGGAGGGAGGGAGGGCGGGGGGGAGGGAGGGAGGGAGGGAGGCAACATATGATGTTCACAGTGAGTCCAGGAGCCTCAGTGGCAGAAGTGGTGGTGGAGAGGGTGCCCATGGAGGTTAGGGGCTAGCAGGAAGCTGAAAGCCTGTCTGTGTGGCAGGCTGTAGGCAGTCAGATGAGACTTCGAGTCTTTCTCTAGTTCATGCCTTGGGAAGACCATCTAACACAAAGAGCTGATTGCTGGCCTAAGTTTGAATCTAAGCCCTGCCCCTGCCTAGCCGTGGGCTCAGGTCACTAAGCAATGAGCCTCAGTTTCTTTATAGGCTTTCTGTCTTAGGAGGTGGAAATCAAGCCTTGCCTGGTTAGCAGATTAAGAGAATAAAACTGAGAGGCTGGAGAGATGGCTCAGGGGTTAAGAGCATTGACTGCTCTTCCACAGGTCCTGAGTTCAATTCCCAGGCTCACAACCATCTGTAATGGGATCCGATGCTTTCTTCTGGTGTGTCTGAAGACAGCTACAGCGTACTTATAACATATAGAAAATAAATAAAATCTTAAAAAAAAAAACCAGCCTACTCTACATAATGAGGAGTTCCAACATTATAAAAAAAGAGAGAGAGAGAGAGTGAATAAAACTATAGATATCCTGGTTCAGGTACCATTTGCCTAGTCCTCCTAAGCCAGTGAGCGGTGCTCAGCCTTCCTAACGCTGTGACCCTTTAGTACAGTTCATTTTGTTGTGACCCCAACCATAAAATTATTTTTGTTGCTACTTCATAACTGTAATTTTGCTGTTATGAATTGTAATGCAAATATCTATATTTTTTAATGATCTTAGGGGTCATGACCCTGAGAACCCCTAGCCTAATGCATATTAATGACTTGGAAGCCTGAGTTTGGGTAACTTAAAATTGAAGGGAAGGACCCCAAAAGTTAGAGACAATGGTTTCCAGTTGGCAGAGGGAACCATTTTCACTAAAAACAAAAAACAAAAAAACAAAAAACAAAAACAAAACAAAAAAATTACCCTAGGGGCCTGTAAACAGAAAGCCTACAGTTTGTCTGGCCTTGAACCGCACCTATAAATGGGAGGGAAAGCCTGGCATAGACAGTGTGGCAGCAGGGGGTTGTTGGCCCTGAGACTGGTGAGGTGGACGCAAAGAAGACTTTTTTTTTCTCCCAAAAAAGGTGGCCAGGCTGAACCTGGAGCCATTCTACAGAAAGCATTGGAGGTGGGCCAGATGTTGCCCCAGAGCTACAACCTGGGTCTCTTCATGGCCACTATCCCTCCCTTCTCTGCAGCAGACCTGAGAAAAGAGGAGGAGCCTAGATCTGTTAGTCACTGGCTGGAACTAGTACCTAGAATCAGTTTATCAGATTTTTTAATTGGTTTACATTTATTTATTTAGTGTATGGGCACACATATGGAGGGCAAAGGACAACTTGCAGGATTGGCTGTCTCCTTCCACCATGTGGGTTCTGGGATTAAATTCAGGTCATTATGCTTGGTGGCAAGCACTGTCGCCTGCTGAGCCATCTCTTTCCTTCCTTCCTTCCTTCCTTCCTTCCTTCCTTCCCTCCTTCCTTCCTTCCTTCCTTCCTTCCTTCCTTCCTTTTTTTTTTTTTTTTTTTGATAGCCCAAAGGACCAAGCTGGCCTCAAACTTGTGATTTTCCTGTCTCAGTCTTCTGTATGCTGGCGTTGTAGATGTGTGCCATGGACTTACAGATGTGTGCCACCACACCCAGCTTAAGTCATCATTATCTCGAAGACACTGATCCAGCAAATGGACTCAATCACTTTCTTCCTCTTGGTTCTGGTTTTATTTTTTGTTTTTTCAAGACAGGGTTTCTCTGTGTAGCCCTGACTGTCTTGGAACTTACTCTGTAGACCAGGATGGCCTCGAACTCACAGAAATTCACCGGCCTCTGCCTTCCGAGTGTTCATATTGGTTCTAGTGACACCATATGAATGCCCATGAACACCATTTGTGGAGTGTGAGTTTCTGCTGGCCTGGGACAGTCATATCTCATGTGTGTTCTATGTGTACCATATGGATGGTAGTCTTCTGTAACCGGATACTGGCTGGCATGTTGCCATTCTGACATACAGGTTAATGGCATACAGGTTAATGGTGCGAGGCTTCTGCTCTCTCACCCATTAGATCACAAGGAGAAGGGTCTGTAAGAAATGAAGCCTCACATGTCAGCCAGAATAATACCTGTTCATACCTTGAGTGTTCCACTGCCCTGTGCCTCCCTAAGACGGAGAGAGGCAAAGGGACCTGAAGAGAGAGCAGCGTGTACAGACTGAGTCTGCTGTTGGCCAAATGAACATTAGGGCAGAACTGAGAGACTATGGGGAAGACTCTGGTGTTGGAAGGGATTCCCTAACTTTGTCCACCTTTGGTGCAATGAGAAGAGGAAAGAGGGGGGCAGTAGTTCTCTTTGTCTTCAGGGCCATGAACTCCAGCTAACCCTCAGCTTCTATGGGAGAATTCAATGTACTGTGTTCAAATGTACTAACTCTTTTATGTAAGCAGGGACCCTGCTGGCCAGTGGTTTGGAGGAAGAGCCCACAGACCCACCAGAGGCCCTGAGCCCACCTTCCTGCACGAGCCATTGCCAGCCCAGCTGCACTCACGATATTGAGATTAGTGAGCACATAGCGCTCTGTGTCCTCCTGGTGAGCCTCGTAAACATCAGGGCCCACAGCTACCAGGAGTTCCAGGTGCAGAATGTCCTCCAATGTCCTTCTCCGCCTCAGTCTCTGGAGGTAAGAGGAAGGATGGCCTAGAGGGGAGAGGAGGAAGAGACTGAGGACAAAGGTTTTAGAAAGCAGGTGTTTGGAGCTAACAGAAAGCGGCTGACCAGTCAAACGGTCAATTTCATGTCTACTCCCAGGGATCAGTTCTCAGCCTGAGGAGTTGGTGAAGGTGTGGACAGAAGTCCCAGCTCAGGTGGGAAAGAAGGTAGAGTTCTTTTAGGACTCCACAACATGGCTCCCCAAGCCCCTTCTCACTGGAAGGAAGCAGGGCTTCAATTCATTCAATTCAATTCAATTCAATTCATTCAATTCTGAAGCCCTGCTTGAGACAGGATCCACCTCCCTTTCCCCTGCTCCTCGCATCTGGGATCCTCTTGTTAAGGAAGAGTCCAGGATTCTTTCTTTGGTGAGAGGGAGGGAGGAATACAGGCCTGAGACAGGGTCCTGCAAAGAACCCTGCTCTTCTAGCATCCAGAGTGAGTGGACTGCAAGCTGCTTATTGTCTTTGGACCTTGCCTGGGGGCTGGATCAGTTCTTGGCAAAGTAGTCTAAGCCTTGAAATGGTTGTTCCATAAGTGAGCCAGCAGGAAGGAGGGCAGACGTCTCTGGTCCATGGACCTCAGGAATCCAGCTCAGTGCTCACTGTCTCCTGGAGTGTAAAGGACTAGGACCCCAGGGAACAGTGTCCCAGACCTTCAGGAGTCCAGAGGTGGGCAGATCCAGTGATCCAGACACTGTGTATCCTGCCCAGGCCTCAGAAAAACTGGTTGTAAATGGGAGGACATCCCCTAATTGTCTGTACCCTGACTCCTAGCCTCATCTGTCTGTTGACCTTGCCAACATCTATGGGGTGTATATAGAGGCCAGAAGTCAACTTCAGGTCTTGTTCCTCAGGACCCATTTTTTTTTTTTTTTTTGGTTTTTCGAGACAGGGTTTCTCTGTATAGCCCTGGCTGTCCTGTAACTCACTCTGTAGACCAGACTGGCCTTGAACTCAGAAATCCGCCTGCCTCTGCCTCCTAAGTGCTGGGATTAAAGGTGTGTGCCACCACTGCCTGACCATCTTGTTTTTAAGACAAGATCTCTCACTGAAACCTGGGGCTCATGATCTCGGCTAGGTTGCTGGCCTGTATATTTTCATGGCTAGTGGTTAGAATAGAAAGGATGAGATATACCCTTTGTAACCAGTTTTTCTGTGGTCTTAGAATGATGCACACTGGGTTCTACCTCTCTTCAGTACTGGAATGAGAAATGTGTGCTACCCTGCCCAGCCTTTCTATATGAACACTAGGACTGGAACTCGGGCCCTCGTGTTTCCACACACAGAAGCACTTTACCAAATGAGCTGGCTTCACAGTCTATCCTGAACCAGGGTTTTAGTCAAAATCACCAACTGTTCCTCTGAGAAAAGGGATGGCATCCTGAGAGGCAGGGCTATAGGTCATGGGAAAGCTATCACCATGAGGAGCACTTCAGGGCAGGAGTCAGAGTTGCTAGAGCTGTCACTCATCTTGTTCCCAAAGAATGAGTAAATATTTACAGCTATGGCCAGAAGTGACAAGTTCCTGAAAGTCAGCCAGTCCCCTGGAGGCCATCCACAGGCTAAGGAGGCCAGCCGATGAACCACTTCCCTGCCCCCACATGTGATACTAAACAGAAGCCTGGGATCAGGACTCCAGTGCAGCCAGAACGCCCAGAACAACTTACTATCAAGTTGGCAAAAAGCAATGATGCTAATTAACAGACTAGCTTCTCTGGCTTCCTCCTTCCATGACCTCCAGAACCCTCACGGCTCTGACTCAGTGGGAACTCCCTCAGTCCCCAACCCGGGGCTCAAGAAACTTCCCTGGCTCCGAGCACATCAGGACAATTACCTGTGAGTGGAGCAGCATGGCGGCCAAAGTAAGAAGATACATCTTTGGGCTCCAGATCCTGAAGAAAACTCTGCAAAACAAATGACATAGAAGAGAAGGAGAAAGGAGACAAGGGCAAGAAGAGAAGAAATCAGAGATATAGGAACGGAGAATGAGGAGGCAGTGCCTAGGCAGGGAAGATCAGTCCACACAGGGCTGCAACAAAATGGAATCTGTTTTGTTACCAGAGTAAACGAATTTCCTTATCTTCAAGCAGAAAGATCATAACCACTCCACCCAAGAGCTTTGGCATTCCCCTCTCCAAAGTGATTGTAACACGCAACACCAGATCTTGTGTGATCCCACCTTCTGGATATCAGAGAGCCCCCAGCAGCCCAGAATGAAGATGGCACCAGTGAGGATTCCTCTGATACTGGCAGCGTGAAAAGGCTGGCACATCAACCATAGGCAAAGCTGGCTCATCCTTAGAAAAGCCAGCCGATGGCCGAACAGGAGCCGTAGTGACTGAGATTCTGGTTAGTGTGCAATGAGACAGACTTTACTTGTTGGCTGGGCGGGACGTTGGGCAGTGTTTACTCTTGGGAGCTTCCTCCCAGGGCAGGGTTATTGTGTGGGCAGCTCGCAGCTTCTACTAGGAACCTGGAATGATTCCCAGTTGAAGAGCACCCCAACCATGTCCTGCACCAGGAAAGTTCCAACTGTGCACATCTAGCCTCCTGGGAGTCTAGCAGTTCAGTCTGGACAATAGCAAGCCCTAAATAGGACCCTGGGCATGTGGGCTCCTGTATAACGACAGGCCCTGGACTGCTCTTTTGGAATCTCTAACTAACCAATATAAGGATGCAGTAAGGACATGGCAGTTCTGGCCCCTCAGCCTGCCTCTCCTCTGGCACCTCCATTTCCAGGCTTTGTCTAGATCTCCTGTCCATTTACCCCTGGCAGAGCCTGGCACTTGCAGACACCCTGTGCCCTCAGCCCATTTCTCTGCCCCAATTCCTATCATTTTGAGACTGTCTGCCTGGTGTGCACCTGCAGCTGGTGGGAGAGTCCTGGAGCAGGTAAGTGGCCCTACATTTCTGCAAGTACTGTCACAAGTTGCCTGGCATTCCACTGCACCTCCTGGGAATTTCTCATCCATTTGCTCTAAAACACTCTTGTACACCCTTCACCCTGCCAGTCCCTATTACTGTTGGGATCTTTGGGGAGTTAATCTTAGTTGTGAACAAGATTGGATCTGGAGTAGACTAAGAGATGGCATACCTCCAGATGGATCTAAGAGTACTTCCTGGAGAGGTTAGCTGAGAGAAGGTACTCCTCCAGAGTGGGGAGTACTTCCTGGCAGCAGTCCTGCTTGCTTTCACTCCTTGCTCTTAAGTACATGTATCCTGTTGCTGCTGCTATTGCCACCGCCATCCTTCAGTGACATCAGAGCCCAGCTTCTTTGGCCTTCTAACACAGAATGGAGACAAGTGACTCTCTAGAAATATTCTAGGCCTTCAGTGCCAACTAGAACTTCTGGCACATCCAGCCTCACAGACTGAGCAGTTACCAGGTGAAAGGTTATTTTTCCGCTGCTGCAGGTGAAATGAGCCAATTCATGCCAGATTAGATTAGATTAAAGGCAGGTTTCTTTGGAAGCTGCTCCAAGTTCACTGGGCAAGTTCACTGGCTCCAAGGACTGAGGCTAGGAGAGTCACCATAGAGAAGTGGAGAGGGGAGGGAGGGAGAAAGAAAGAAAGAGCATGCATGGAGAGAGAGAGAGAAAGAGAGAGAGAGAGAGAGAGAGAGAGAGAGAGAGAGAGAGAAGAGAAGGAGGAGGAGAATAAGAGAGAACAAAATGTCTGGATTATATAGAGAAGAGCCTCTGGGGGAAGGGCAGCCTAACCCCTTTTCTAGAAAGTTCAAGGGGTTGGGGCAGGGTATGCCAGGTAGGGACTGAGGGATGCTGGGAAAACCTAGAGGCCAGGCCTATTTTGGTATGTAAAATATGCACCTCAGTCCCTTGTCCTGGGTCGGAAACCAAATACCAGATTCTCAACCTCCTAAGTACACAGACGACCATTGTGGGACTACCTAGCTGCAGTGGTTATTCTTGGTTTTCAACTTGACTACATCTGGAATTAACTAAAAACACAAAGTTGCTGGGCACTCCTGCAAGGGTTTTAGCTAATTGAGGTAGAAAGACCCTAAATGTGGGCTATGGTAGCCCATATAAAGGACAAGAAAGAAAGAAAGAAAGAAAGAAAGAAAGAAAGAAAGAGAAAGAGAGAGAAAGAAAAGAAAGAAGGAAAAAAGAAAGGAAGGAAGGGAGGAAGAAACTTCTGATGGCATATACTGAAGACCTAGACTGGTTGAAGCGTCCAGCCTCATGACTGAGCAACTACTGGACTTTCCACTGGGAGACAGCCATTGTTGAACTGTAAGGAGAGAGCCACTGCAATTCAGCCTGTCTTGAAGGCAACTCTCCCACTTTTTTGTTGTTGTTGTTGTTGTTGTTTTCGAGGCAGGGTTTCTCTGTGTAGCCCTGGAAACTTTTTGTTTTGTTTTTGTTTTTTGTTTTGTTTTTTTGAGACAGGGTTTCTCTGTATAGTCCTGGCTGTTCCAGAACTCACTCTGTAGACCAGGCTGGCCTCAAACTCAGAAATCCGCCTGCCTCTGCCTCCCAAGTGCTGGGATTAAAGGCATGTGCCACCACTGCCCGGCTCTTTTTTTTTTTTTTTTTAATTATTTCTATGAGTACGCTGTCACTGTCTTCAGACACACCAGAAGAGGGCATCAGATCCCATTACAGATGGCTGTAAGCCACCATGTGGTTGCTGAGATTTGAACTCAGGACCTCTGGAAGAGCAGTCAGTGCTCTTAACCACTGAGCCATCTCTCCAGCCCCAACTCTCCCACTTTTTGCTTCCACATTTTGTTAGCAGGGTCAAGCCAGGTTTACATTCCCAGGCTTGAGGACACGTTCCTACCCTTCCTCTCCAAATGTTTTCTTAATTGTCTGTTAAACCGGTAAAAGAGTGTAAAACTTGCTGTTATTTTAACCAAAGTGCCCGAGTTACAAAAATATATAACCAATGCCTGCAAAGCCCTCATTAACTGCATGCAGCTGACCCGTTCCTTTGTTCCCTTATTGCCTTGAGCTCCAGACCAATGTCTAGAGAGATGAGTTAAGGGCCTTGAAGCCAAGTGTCCTACTAGAGGCTCAGTCTTCAACAGATAATCTCTTGCTTCACCCTTAATGTCAAAATAAAATCGAATGACCCCACAGTTCTCCCCCTCCCACATCGTTTTGTACTTTCACCCTTTAAAAATGCAAGATGGCTTCTCCTTGAGGATGTAGTTCAGACATGGAACCAGCTACCTCCCTGAGCACTCAGGAAATAAAGCTTTTGTTTTTAAAGCTTCTGTCTCTGAAGCAAGTTTTCTTGGCTTCCAACTGAACCCAACAGAACTTGCTGAGCCGCACAGGCTGTAAGCCAATCTAATAAATTCCCTTTAGACAGACAGACAGACAGACAGACAGACCAATTCATTCTCTCAGTTCTGTTTCTCTGGAGAGCCCTGACTAGCCTGCATCATGAAAGCCAGTCTACTAAATCCCCGTGGTGATGTAATTCATGCCATCTTTCTGCTTGTCTAGAGACCCTGATTATGTAGACGACAAATGTCCCTTGAAGGCCCATGAATTTTTGAAGACTCGATCACCAGCTTGTAGGAGTTGGTGGAACCTTCCTTTCAGAGGTGGGACTTAGTGGGAAGAAGTTAAGTCATCAAGACTGTGACCTTTAAAGGCATTGGGGGCCAGCTCTGTCCCTTCTAGCTCATTGATGTCTGATTGCCATGAGGTAAGCAGCTTTTCTCTTTCATGTCCTTCTTCCACGGCACTCTGCCTCATTACAAGTCTCAAGCAACCATAACTGAAATCCACACGCTAAAATTAACCTTTCCTCCTTATAAAGTTGATTACCTCAGATATTTTATCACAGTGATAAGAAGCTGACTAGCACCCCTTAGTGATGACTACCTTTGTCTCCCCAGATAAACCTGCAGCACCTTTTACCCCCTGCACAGGGAGAATGTACACCCATCTGTGCCGGGTCAGACTGGCTCTGGGTCCCTCCTACCCACTTGTTTCCTTGAGATGCATTTCTGTGAAGAAATTTTGTTTTTTATTTCTGCATGTATGTGTGCCTGCTTGTCTGAATGTGCACCACTATGTGAGTGCAGGCGTCCTCAGAGACCAGAGATGGGCACTGAAACCCCACTGAGGGTGCTGGGAATCAAATACCAGTCCTGTGCAGACAGAACTTTTGACAACAGAATGATTCCTCAACTACTAGGTTTTAAATTTTTGGTTTTGAATTATATGTATGTGTGTTATGACTATGGGGGTGTGCATGAGATCACTGAATTATATGTATATGTGTTATGACTATGGGGGTGTACATGAGCGTACAGTGCAGGACACACTGTGTGTGGCTGAGTCTCGTTTTCAGTCCATCTCGCTGATGTGTTGCTCCTTCAGCACTCTTCTTTCTCACTTACATTTTGCCTCTGCCCCTCCACTAGATTCACTCACATATCACATGCAGTTATCTGCGCTCCTGCAATGGAGAAGGAAGACATGATACTAGACCCTAAGGAAGCAGCTATGAGCCAATCAGAGAACCACTATGGCTGCTCCGGGAAGAGAATCAACAGCAAACTAACAAAATAAACAGTGTTAGGGATTGGTTTTAAGGCTTTGTCTTAATTTGGCTCCCAGAATCACACAGGAGTGTGCATTCAGACACTAAAGGAAGCCTGCCCCCAGTTGGCTCTTATTGGAAAATAAAGTTGCCAACGACCAATGGTTGGGAAAGATGAAAGAAAGTTGGAGGGGAGAATGTATGCTACCCGCAGGGAGAATTAGAAATGCTCAGCCATTGTGCTAGTCCCAGCGAATCAAAATTAGCTGGTGTGTGTGTGTGTGTGTGTGTGTGTGTGTGTGTGTGTGTGTGTGTGTGTAAAATTTACCGCTATGATACAGCATGCATAAAAGACCTTAAAAAATACCTTGCATTCTATCTGACCACAAAGATTAAGGTTGGATATCAACAACAAAAGAAATGACTCCGAGAGTATTCAACCTTATAGAAGCTAAGCAGCTTGCTACTGAATGAAAATTGGGTCAAGACAGAAATCAAGAAGGAAATTGTAAAACTTTTTAGGATTGAATGAAAATTAAAACACAACACATTCAAACCTCTGGGGCACAATGAAGGAAGCCATAATAGGTAAGTTCATACAACTAAGTGCCTACATTAATAAAAAAACTGGATATATTTCATATTAGTAACTCAGTGACAGGTTTGAATATCTGAAAAGTGTAAAAAAAAAGAAAGAAAAGAAAAACAAAACAAACAAAAAGAAAGGAAAACAAAACAAAACAAACAAACAAACAAAAACCAAAAAAAGGAAAGAAAAGAGCCAACCAAACAAACAAACAAAAAAACCCAAAAGGAAATAATTGTTGCGTAGTGGCACACACCTTTAATCCCAGCACTTGGGAGGCAGACGCAGGTGGATTTCTGAGTTCAAAGCCAGCTTGGTCTACAGAGTGAGTTCCAGGACAGTCAGGGTTACACAGAGAAACCCTGTCTCAAACAAACACAAAAAAAGAAAGAATGAAAAAAGAAATAGCAGATGGGAAATAATCAAACTCAGATTAAAATCGACAAAATAGAAACAAATAAAAACAATAAATCATAAAGTGAAGAGTTGGTTCTTTGAGATAATCATCACACTTTCAACCAAAATAATCAAAATATAGAGGGAAGATCCCACCATATTAACTATGTGACCTTGAACACATTATTTAGATTTTTCTGACCATTATTTAGATTTTTCCATCAGTAAAAGTATTAAAACAGCTACTTCTGCAGAGTGTGGTAGTACACACCTTTAATTCCAGCACTTGGGAGGTAAAAGACAACTCTTGAGTTTGATGCCAGCCTGGTCTACATAACAATTCTAGGCCAGCTGAGCTACGTAGTAAATAAGACCCTGTCTCAAACAAACAGAAAAACCCAGCCACTTTGCATATATTATTGAAATTAAATAAATCAGAGTATGTAAAAGTAGTTGTCACACCGTTCAATAAATGAAAGGTTTGGTTGCTACCAAGAGGTCATACCCAAAGGGCATTCTGTAATTAAAATTGAATAATCATAAAATATTTAAAATATTCTCAAGGCATATAATACCTTGAGAAAACAAAACAACCCTCAAAAAAACCTGCTTTGACTCTAGACCTCAAACTACTACAGAAAACTAAGCAAATGCTAAATTTGCAATTTACAAAACTTCATTTCTCTCCTAGTCATTGAATTCATCTAGATTCCCTGGGTCTTTTACTTAAGAGGGAGAGGGGTGCCAAGGGTATTTGGCACATACCTTGCCACCACCATGACCACCATTGAAGGGACTCTGGCCAGCTTGAGATGGTGAACCTTACCCTTCCCCCATCCCCTCTCCCCTTGCTAGAAACCATCAGATTACATTCCTAAAGCTAGCCACCAAGGTGTATTCTCTTATTTGGCCTCTTCTTCCTCCTGAGGCTAACTACCAAGGTCCAGCTATCAAAGCACTGAAGCCCAGCAAGCAAAAGCCCCCTTTGGCTCATGTAATTAACATGTCCAATTAAAATTAAACACCTCATCCTTTGTACCTACCTAAATTGTCATTTTCCTACGCGCCACTCCTGTCTCCTCACTATCCAGAGGAAGTCCTTTGTCTCCAAGGACAAATACCCTCAACTCTCTCCTTTGTCTTCTGTCTCTTGTTCAAGTCTCTTATTTCCTGCCCTCTGTCTCTCTGGGGCAAATAAATCTCCTTTTGTAAGGAAGGGTCCATGATTCCCCCAAAGAATGACACCTGGGACTCAAACAGTATGTAAATGCAAAGGCTGTTTTATTCTGCAGAAGTCCAGCATACTGGGGTCTCCCATTACCAAGATAGAGAGACCAAGTGAGCTCAGAGGCTAGTTTTAAAGCACATTGGAAGTCTAGGTAGATGATCTTTATCTTACTCTACCTCTAGGCATTTCGGAACCATTATCCGGGCAGGAAGGCTGGAGCCTGGACTTTTTTTCCGATTAATAATTGACTTGCCAGTTCCAGGACAGCCAGGGCTATATAGAGAAACCCTGTCTCAAAAAACCAAAAGTAGCCGGGCGGTGGTGGTGCACGCCTTTAATCCCAGCACTTGGGAGGCAGACGCAGGCGGATTTCTGAGTTCGAGGCCAGCCTGGTCTACAGAGTGAGTTCCAGGACAGCCAGGACTACACAGAGAAACCCTGTCTCAAAAAAAAAAAAAATTGACTTGCCTGGACTTTTCCTTAGGCCTAGTCTCTTTAACTGCCGATTTGAAGTTTGTCGCTCACTTTGTGCTGGGAACTTGGTCTTGAGGTCCTGACTGGATACTTTTCCTAACAACCACCACCAAGTGGCTCCCTAACTTTCCTAAGTGGTCCATTGGCTTTGCAGCATATCTCTAAGCAAAGAAACCCAAGGGTAAACTATTCGACTTGTGACAGCCCCATCTGTGTTAAGTATTGCACTACCGGGGTCAAGTATAGATTGCCGGTCATTTATTAACACTGCAGTTAAGAATTAAATTTTGCTTTATCATTTTTATCGGACACTGCTGGCGTGCCTTTGCAGCCAGCAAACCAGTCTGACGGGCGTGGGGAATGCCTCCGTATTCGCAGTGTGTGGTTGTGCCGACACAAGCTCCGCCTCTGCCTCTTCTGTCCTCCCTTGAGTGCCACACCGAGAGTAGTTCCCCAGCCTGTTCCTGCGTTCCAGCGTCTCCTCGTTTGCGCCCTCCCGGGACACCAGATCTTTGTGAAAATCTGGGCTCCCTTCTGTCAAACTCTAGGTAGCCAACCGCGGCGCTACTAGCCAGGGTGGTCAGCTCCCAGTGCTAACTAGCGGTCTGGTCGCGGAGTCCGCATACGTGCGGAACCAAAGATGCAGACTCGGTTTCTAGCAGATCGCGAAGAGAAGAACAACCAGGGAAACCTCACGCGCTGTGGAGGCACGCTTGCCTCCTAGGATATGCTTCTGCGATCGCCAGAGTCCGAGTCTCTTCCCTGAATTCAGACTCGGGCTGCAGAGAGCAAGAAGATGAAGACTAAGGCCACCGCGCCAGTGCCCCAACCTGGGCCTATCAGGAAGCTCCCTACGAAGAAAGCCAAGAAGTTCAGGAAGAGCAAAGCGCTGGGAGGAAGTGGGACTCCGGGAAGCCGCCCCGCAGCTGACGCAGGCCGACCGCCAAAGGCCCCAGAGAACTTTTCTCAAAATTGGAAGGCGCTGCAAGAGGTGAGACTGGCGACAGGCCACCTTCATCTCGAACTTTCGGTTAGGTAGCCACAGACCCCGAAGGAGGAAGAGATGTTGTTCTCTGCTTTACTCAAATTATTTTTCTCAATCATAAATCACATATCTAGGTTGCCACCCTGCCAACGTCTTAAACTATGCCCCAGAACTCTGGCCCAGACTGCTCTGGAACTCATGTAGCTCAGAGTATACCCACACTAGTGGTTGACCTCCTACCACTAGTGGCCCCCCCAGTCCTGAGCCTCCTCCACTCATAAATTCTTACATACTAGTTAGATGCTTTTACTGTCCTTGTTTCTTAGACGAGGAAATTGTGACACAGAGCTTAAGGGGTTCGAGTTAAAGAAGGTCACACAGCCTGTAAACAGCGTAAGTGGGATACTGAGTGTGTGTTCACTCTATTGACTTTAGGTAGTCTTCTAGAGTATATGTCATGGAGCCTCAGATAATAAGAAACACAATCAGAAGTTCTTGAGCTCCTTAGCAACAGTCCACCTTGTTCCCTTAGTGTGGATTTTCCTATCTGAACACCCAGGACCAGCCAAACCTTGTGCACAGTCTGGGCTCTGTATACTGGTTCTTGTTCTTTCTCCTAAGAAAGTAAAGTAAAATTAAATGTTCATGGAGTGTATATTTACTATAGGAAACTTGGAGTTGGCTCTGGTTTCTAAAAGAATCTAAATCCTTCAGGTATTTTAACTGTTAGGGGAGTGAATAAGTAGAAATTTGCTGCAACATCTCTCAGCTGGCTGCCATCTTGTTGTGGTCTTAACTGGGGATTTGAATACAGGAAGAAATTGTTATCCTGGACCTCTCCTCTGCCTGGATCAATTTCCATTGAACTCTCTTTCTCCAGGTCTTCCTCAGGCTCTGAGCTATAGCCAACCTCCAGAGATAGTGTAAAGGAAGTGATCATTGTGTCCCACATTGGTGACCATGGAAGTCACTCTAAATGCAACTCCAAGTAAAGAAGTGAAAACCACCATTAGTGATGGTGATGGGAGATTATGTGGATGATAGGTACACATGTACACACATGTTTCTTTAATCTGTGGTATTTCCGTTCAAAATTTAAATGTGGCTTTTAAAAAAAATAATAAATGTGGCTTATATTTAATTTTGATTCCATTAGCTGCTGAAACAAAAGTCACAGGCCCCAGAAAAACCTCTTGTCTCTCAGATGGATGACAAAATACATCCCCAAATCATCCAGCAGAACAGAAAAAGGACCTCAGATAAATCAAAGGGAGACA